TCTCTGCTCATGTATGACTCTTTGTCTTTCTTTGGCTGTGCACTCATGTCCCTGCTTCACCATCATCCTTTAATCCCCTTCTCCAGGCTCTCCAGGACTCACCCTGCGATTTCCTCAGCTCCTCCACCAGGCCCCGGGCCTCTTCCTGAATCCGCTCCTCCACACTTCGCTTCCCCATCCCAAAGTCCCTCATGGTTGCTAGAGAGAATCGCCGGAGAGTCTTCCAGCGTTCCCCATTGGAAAAGATCACACCTGAGAAAGTAGGAGAAGTGAGAGCAGCTTACATTGGAAGTTCAATGAAACCTGGGCTCTTCACCACCTCTTACCCTCACTTCCTTCAGATACTCTTCTCTTTGTGCCTGAGACACCAAAGACTTAAAAATCAGTGGGTATTGTTTCCAAGTTTAAAGCAGAAGCCTGAACGAAGGCTAGCTAGGTGGAGACACATCCAGCCACCTTCTGGGAAGAACTCGCCTTACTGCATTCTTTCCTGCCCACTAATTATACAGCTGGAAAGAAACTGGCCCATATGACCAGGCCAGAACTGTTTGTAGTCTTGGCGCCTAAAGTGGACCAGTCATTTCAAAAGTCAGTTTCCCTTACCCAATCATGTAACGCCAAAGGATGTGAGTACCTGCTTGCCCTTTTGCCCCATAAAAACCTTGCTTTCTAGACCATGGGGCCACATTCCTCTCCTGTTTCCACAGGAAGTTAGCGTCCTATATTCAAATGGGTATACAATTTCAAAAACCTCATGTATTTACAGCAGAGTCTATTCGTGGTCTTTTGGGGCTCGTGAACTGGGCATAACATTTTGGGGGCTAGTCCTGGGACCCCAAGACTCCAGGAACCTGACCCGGAGGTTTTTATGCCAGCAGTAAGTGTCTAAATGCCTCTGTGCAGTGTCTGTGTGTGCATGTACTTTCTGTCTTCTATTTCAAAAATTCCTTAAGACTCTGGGTGTCCGTATCTGGGCAGCAGTGATCAAAAACAATGTGCTGGTGATCAGAGCTGCCAAAGTTCAGGGGGATACTCCTGGATTCATCTGCATCTGTTTTTCTATTTTAGTTGGGGGTACCTGTTTCAGAACACAATTGTCTAGTCTGTTTCGTTTTTTGTGTCTGTTGGAATGAAATTGTTAGGCCTTTGCCAGACACACTTCCAAGGTTTCCACCATGGTGGTGCAGTGACCTTTCAAGCCGGGCTCCAGAAAGGCTGGGGCAGGGCTTGATTGTGCCAGCCACGCTGTGAGAGAGGAGTGGCCGAGGAATCCACCATGCGCTGGCTGTGCAAATAGTGCACCCACTTGGCTCCAGGTGGCCAGAGCTCGAGGGCCCAGGCTGCCTGGTCCCAGCGAATGCTACTGCAGCTGGAGCCCCAGAGAGGCGGCAGCCATGGGAGAGGACTCTGGATGCCCGGCTTGGGTGTGGTGAATGGGGACGAGGCCCACTGGTCCCCCGCTGACATGCTCCCCTAAGGTGCAGTGAGCCACCCGAGGTAGGGTTGTGCCCAACACAGGGCCTGCTCGCAGCGCGGCTCCATGTATCCCAGGCCAGGAAGTGGCAGCACCAAGTGCCATGGCACACTTCCCAGTGCGGTCCAGCCTGCCAGGATGCAGAAATAAAAAGCTGCGATTGTGAGTGGAAGGATGTTTGGGAAGTATTCTTGAGCCTCTGTTTGTGTGATTTGTAAAACCTGATGCTGCTGGACGCCAGTGAATTCAGCTGCAGCTTCCAAATGCTTCTGCCTTAGTCTGAACTCAGAGGACTTAGTTTTGGCCTCTTTGAGGTGGATGTTGTGCCTGCCACAGAGGAATCAGTTTGGGTGGAATAAGAACAGTTTTGTCTGTTTAAATGTATGTAAGGCCATTATATGTTTGTTTTTGACTGATCTTAAATGGTTAATATGCTCTGCATGTCTTGGTTATAGATTTATTGGATATGTTTAAAGGTTAAAATTCAGAATCTTGTTTAGAACACGTATGTGTGCCTATGATCTATAAAAGCATAGAGGTGTTTAGATAGCAACCATGTGGCTGGCCATGGGGATGTGACTCCACCATCTTGAGATTACCATGTGGTGTGGGTCAGGGAAAGGAAAGATTATAGAACATCATAGTTGAAATGAATTTTGTTTCCTTTTATACTAAGAAGACAAGTCTCATTTTAAATTGATATTGCTTTTAGAGATCGGATAGTTTGCACTGGTAATTTAGTTTTGACTTTTAAAATTATGGTTGTGCTTTGTTATTTCACTCCTAAACCAGGTACTTTATTTTGATATTGCAAAAACAGATTTTGGAGAATGTTTAAATGTTCAAGGTGATGAAACATTTTAAAGTTTATCAGACATTTTAAATAATGACCTTGGGCAGTCTAAGAAAAAACTTGGAACAGTTTCTCAATCCTTTGGGGAAGGAGTTTTGTAAACTAAAATTTCATGTAAGCTTCAGGAAACCAAAAAGTCATGAGATCTGGCATACTGCAAACAGACCACAGCTGAGTTTTTCTCCTGGTCTTGGGATTCCTCACTTTTCCCATTTAATAGACAAATTTTAACTTCTGTCTCTAGTCTGATTTTGTCTCAGCAGATTTCTTCTGTTTGACTGTATTCCAGGATCATCTATGGACTGCAAGCTCATATCTGGACTTGGTGGAAGCTGACATGATTGTTCCCTGCCTCTTCAGGTGGATCAACTAACCAGATGCTTCTGAGGACTGCCCCATTGCCCAGCAATGGTATTTCAGCCTTCGTAGCCCCTGATGCCAACAGTCCTATTGTCAATACTGAAACAATTTCAGAAGATGAGACCCTCAGCCCCAAATCCTACCTAGCAGGCTGAAATGCTAAGTCAAAAGGGGTCTCCTGACATTAGCTATTATCTTGGGGATCTGATTAGCTGGAACAAGAACTAGTATTACAGTAACTGGACTAAAAGCCTGGAGGGATGCTAGAGAGAAAAGATTCCAAAGGATGGTTTAAATCATGGTATAATAGTTCTCGTGGCTTACTACCCCTATATCCACCCTGAAGGTACTTCTACTCATTTTTATTTTTAGCTTTGGGCCTTGTATTTTAAATCTCTTGATGGCTTTCATGAAGAAATGTTTGGGAGCAATACAGTAATGGTACTAAAATCCCATTCTGGAAAGGTAAGTCTGTAAGATACCAGGGGTCATATCTGGAAGACCCAAGATTAGGTCTTCAAATGATCATGGGAAGGGGGGAAGGAAACACAAGAGACTTAAAAATCAGTGGGTATTGTTTTCAAGTTTAAAGCAGAAGCCTGAACGAAGGCTAGCTAGGTGGAGACATGTCCAGCCCCCTTCAGGGAAGAAATAGCCTCAATGCCCTGAGGGGAAGAACTCGCCTTACTGCATTCATTCCTGCCCACTGGAGATACAGTTGGTAGGAAACCAGCCCATATGACCAGGCCAAAACTGTTTGTAGTCTTAGTGCAGAAAATAGACTAGTCATTTCAAAAGTCATTTTTGCTTACCCAATCATGTAACGCCAAAGGATGTAAGTCCCTGTTTGCGGTTTTCCCCATAATAACCTTGCTTTCCTAGACTGTGGGGCTGCATTTTTCTCCTGTTTTCACAGAAAGTTAGCGTCCTGTGTTCAAACATGTATGCAATTTTTGAAAGCCACATATATTTACAGCAGAGTTTATCCTGGTCTTTTGGGTTTTGCGAAATGGGCTTAACAGTGCCCATTCTCCATTCCATTTCATCACAACCACTGAGATGCTTACCATACTCCTGGAAGACAGGCAGGAGCACAGCAACTGTCCCTCGGCCAGAGAAAGCCTCAGCGTGGTCCACCAGGGCCTCCCTAATGGCATCTGTCCCACACAAAATGACCACAGGCCTTGGTCCCAGGTGCACCGTGAACACATCTCCATATTTTTCTCGAAGCTGCCAAACATAAGGGTGACCAGGGGAGGAGGAGCCTATTGACCAATCTGTATTTAAGTGTTTTCACAGTTTAACAACACAGTCTTTGGTGGCTTACCACACCCTGGTACCCTTATGTTTGGCAGCTTCGAGAAAAATATGGAGATGTGTTCACAGTGCACCTGGGACCGAGGCCTGTGGTCATTTTGTGTGGGACAGAGGCCATTAGGGAGGCCCTGGTGGACCACGCTGAGGCTTTCTCTGGCCGGGGGACAATTGCTGTGGTTGAGCCTGTCTTTCAGGAGTATGGTAAGCATCTCAGTGGTTGGGATGAAATGGGATGGAGAATGGGCACGGAGAGAAGCAAATCTGAAGAAAGTGAGGTTAAGAGGTGGGGAAGGGCCCAGGTTTCTTTGAACTTCCAATGTAAGCTGCTCTCGCTTCTCCTACTTTCTTAGGTGTGATCTTTTCCAATGGGGAACGCTGGAAGGCTCTCCGGCGATTCTCTCTAGCAACCATGAGGGACTTTGGGATGGGGAAGCGAAGTGTGGAGGAGCGGATTCAGGAGGAGGCCCAATGTCTGGTGGAAGAGCTGAGGAAATCCCAGGGGAGGCCTGGAGAACCTGGAGAAGGGGATTAAAGGATGATGGTGAAGGAGGGATATGAGTGCACAGCCAAAGAAAGACAAAGAGTCATACATGAGCAGAGA